GTGATTTGATATCTGAGATCCAATCCACTACACATTACATGGAACTGTTATTTTATTTTTTATGTTGCTTATTTGTTAATAAATAATATACAGTACCTTTACATCTCTGTTAATTTTTGATCTTTTTTAACAAACGGTTTTCTGGCCGATCACAGATTCCTGATTTTTAAAAAGGCTGACATGACGATTCTGATTTTAATCGACAGATTTCTTTATATTACTGACCGGGTCAGTTCTTATACATCAAAAGACAAAAGATATTTGAATCTTTTCTTACTGAAAAACATTAATTGCTGCCTGTGAAACAATAAAAAATAGTAAAATAACTGCTCTCAAATATAAATAGGAGTTTAAGGTATTGACAGTAGGTGGTTTGGATGGATTCTGATCTATTAATCAGTTATTTTTCAGTTAAGAAATCGAGGCTGATCGATCGGCCGGCAAATAAATCGGTGAACCCGTCATTTATTTTAAGAGCTTTATTTTGATATACCTTGAAATAAATAAAGTTTGAATTAACAAATTGTTTAATCACTAATAAGAATAATAAAATATAATTTTTAAAAAACTATATAAGCTACAATTGTGCCGTTAAATATATATTTTGTTTGATTTAATGGATACATACATTTATGTCATTGAATATATATATTTATTTTTATTTTCAAAATGTATATTTTCACTTAAATATATCTTTATAAAGCCCAGGTGTTTTATGAAGGCTTTAGATGTCCAATTGTGAACATTGGTTAACAAACAGCATCATAAAATCAACAAAGAGGTCAGGGGAAAAAAGATGTGGGAAAGATTTAGGCAGAACTTGCAATAGAAAAATTAAAAAAAATGAAATCTTTCACTATCTCACGATACATGTGAAACCACAACAACAGGAAAACAACCAAGCAGTGTGAAGACTTTTCAATAGATAGTGAAACTGAAGCAATGTAAACAGAAGAGTCCAACAGACGGATATAAAACTCTGTCTTTGAGGGGCAATTACCTTATACTTATAAACGATTCATATTTAGGCAACAGGAAAATAAGTTTGAGCTTTTTTTTAGGCAAACTGAAAAATGTATTCAAAGGTTTATAAAAAGGCCGTTGAATCTGTGAAAGGAAATAGTATTGTTAATTATGATTCTATTGTTGAAGCATGTCTCAAACTGATCATGGGAAAAAGTTCCATGAAATAAATTCTATTCAATTCAAAGAAAACTCAAGTCCAACTTTTCTAATTTGGTGTACAGCCAAAATATAATTTTAACACCCTTTGAAAAAAGTAACTAGAAAAGTTAACAAAGCATGTTTGTTAATACATTAAATCAAACTAAAGGGAAAAATTAGTCCATGTGAAAAAAAGGTGTACGAAAGAAAAGACCGTAAAACTAGAAAAGCACTCAGAAAGCACAGGCCTCCACCAAGAAGAAGATATTGCCCCAAATTTCGACTTACACCTAACCTAGTAAACTAGCCCCACACGCTAGTGGCCAAAATCATTTTTGCCTGCCAATGGTCTAGCCTCGATCAATGCCCGAGGCCTTAGAACGGGCGGGCCAATCACAACGCAGAGATGTGTTTTTAATTTCTGGATGCAAAGCAGGCGGGGTTTTAAGGGTGTGACGACAAAGATGCGTGGCACTGGAGAAATCACAACAAGGAAGATGGCAACAACTATCGAACAGTTCTCATTTGACTCAGCTTTGGAATCAGTTTTGGAAGGATTAGACTTGGGGTTTTCGTTGAAACGTGAGCAGGAAGAGGCTCTACGCTCATTCGTATTTACACTCCCCCACCAGCTTTCTGTCGCGCTTCCTACGTCACAGTCAGTTGCGCTCATTGGTCAGAGCGTTGGCCAATAGGCACAGACATGGGTTGAAATACAACAGGTTGTTCTCATCAACAATCTTCTGATGTCTCATTCATCGATGCCAGACTAAATTACACATTTAATCTCACATTTAGTCTGGTTTATCAGGCTACACTTATACCTATAGCTAAAATTCTCGCAAGATCTGTATCATTACCAAATTGAAATGAATGGTTCCTTGGCATGATGTGAACCTTTGGTAACAATTTCCTTAAAATCTGTTTTCAATGGATCCACTAACAAACCAACAAAATTCCTTTTTCTTGTTTTTTTGTCTTCAGTAAAATACCTGAAGACTTCTAAGGTTTGATGCTGAGGCTGTCAATAGTCACTGCTGCCACCTTCTGGTTTAACGAGGAACTGCTTGTTCCACTAAATATCCCTAACTCATATTAGAGAATCTTAAAAAAAAAAAAGAAAAAAAAAATCCTGTATCCAGATTAAGATCTGGATAATCCCAAAAATATAATGGATTGTTCCTTTGCATGAGGGACACCTCTGATAAAGATTTCATTTAAATCCACCTATTACTTTTCAAGTTATCCTCTACACAGACAGACAGACAGACAAACTCTCCTAAGAGAGGATGTAATAGAACCTTTTTAAAACTCCAGACAGCTTTCCAGTAGGTGTGTCACAGCAGCAATGACTTATTCACCTCCAACATGTGATGTTTGAACAACAAACATTGCATTCAGCTCTGACTGCTAGTGACTTACCGCCGCATGCCGCCTGCCCTCGTTCCTGTCGGCTCCCAGCCACTCCAGAGCCCTCTTCACCTCAAACTCTACATACTCCGCAGTGAAAGTGTCTCCAGCCATAGAGAGGTGGCCCATGGCTTTAGAGGCCATCTCCATAACTACTGGGTCACTGGAGGGGAGCAGATTGCGGAGGTAGTTGGCAAACCGGCTGATCCTGGTGGCATTGCCGCCCTCCACTCCGATTAGGCTCACTAGAAGGAAAAACTAGTCAGTTGCACACATATTTCACACCAAATACATCTTACAATCCCCAGGAAGGAGAAACGTGTGTCCATAGCTCACCGATAGCAAGAATGCCGCCTTTCTTCTCGTTCACATCAGAGCTGGATACCAGCTCAAATATATGGTGGTTTAACTCATCGTAGAAAGTAGTGGCTTCATCTTGGCTCAACTGTGGCAGAAAAAGGTGAAAATAGGGACAGAATAACTGCTACAGCACAGTGATGGAAAAACTGTTAAATCAAATATGAAGTAGAAACACCTTTTTCTATAGATTAATTTAAAAAAAACAACAACAACAAAAAAGACGACTGAAACCTTCTAGGTAGCCTCATCAGACAAGTATTTAACATAAAATTATCATTAATCGCATTAATAAATATATTTTTAGGATGAGTATTAATAAACATCAATCATTTGTTAATAAATAAAATAAATAAGATCATATTTAAAAGTTTTGAAAAAAATATTTTATTAAGTAGCATTTTATTCACAGTTCATGTTAAAATATTATTTCCTGGGCCAACAAATAAAACCTGTCAAACAATCACTTGCAATTCCAAAAAAAAAGAAAATTAAAAACAATCCAATGGACTTTCGTCTCCAAGTTTGAAGATGTTTCGCTTCCCATCCAGAAGCGTTGAGTTTGAAGTTTTATACAGTAACCCAACAAAGCTTTGTTTTTGTTTTGAAAACATGTAATAATAATCATTTGCAATATTAAAGTTGCAAAAACCTTAAATTTAATGAGGCTTTCTGCATCCCAAGCCTGAAATATTGTTCAGGTATTGAAATATTGTTAAGTTCCAGTTACAGTTCTTCACAAAGGCAAGCTGTAATCCATCAATTTTCTGACACGCTTAATCCCGAGTCGGGTCGCGAGGGGTGCTGGTGCGTATCTCCAGCTGTTTATGGTCGAGAGGCAGAGTACACACCCTGGACATGTCGCCCGTCCATCGCAGGGCAACACAGAGACAAACAGGACAAACACACACACTCACTCCTAAGGAGAATGTAGAGAAGCCAATTAACCTAACTGTCCTGTTTTTAGACTGTGGGAGGAAGCTGGAGTATCCGGAGAGAACCCATGCATGCTCAAGGAGAACATGCAAACTCCATGCAGAAAGACCCTGGGCCGGGAATCAAACCCAGAACATTCTTGCTGCAAGGCACCACTGAGCAGCTCTGCAAGCTGTAATATTTACATGAACACATCATTGCTCCAACATGAACAGATCATTGCTCCAAATATGTACCATTAATAATCCTAAAATGTTATGCTAAATGCAAACAACACAGTTTGTTTGTGTCTGAGGTGTCTTTATTTGATTTGTTTAACGTGGTTTTGTGCTGTGATACCTCTCTGAGCTCTGTGGTCACATAGTGCTGCAGATCCTTAGCAGATTTTGCTCTGGTGTCTTCATTTCTGCTCTTCAGCCCGCTGACAAACTGCTGCAGCACAGTGGCTGTCCCTGACATGATCACCATGGTCTTATCTAGAGGAGAAGAAAAACATGTGGGCAGAAAAAAACTTAATGAGGAAAACTGTTTATGCATAAACAGGTTTATCAAATGAAGCAGAAGCTGAATGATCAGATATCTGAACATTGTTTACAACTAGCTAGCAGGCTAACGTGTCAGGTTAGCGACTAAATTACCTGCTAACCTGGATGGACAGTAAGAAACATTACAGAAAAGACTTCGCAGGCTTTGATTCATCACTTTCAATGATACTAACAACCACCGTATCTGAGGCAAGACAGAGTCATGCTTGTTTTGTTTAGCTAACTGTAGCACCGGTGCTAACGTTAAGCTAGCTCCCGAGGCTTCTTGCAGCGCGTAGAGTTGCAGCTCTCTGGGTTACTTACGTGTTTGTATTAATATGCCGACCGCTTAAATGCTATTGGGATTATCCAGGATATTTCTCATTGTACAACTACCAGATTAGGACAGCTCAAGGGTGGCTAACAGAGGCAGGTCGGTGTTGGAGCGACTCCGATGGAGGGCAAGGGGAAGAAAGTCTTCACAAGGGTTCAGCTGCGCAGGCTGCGCAAAGCTGCGCGCAACGCAGAGCTTCACGAAGAAAACCGTTTTTTTTTCTCTCTCTCCTTTACCCATTAAACCCTACGGAAGAGGATTAGGGCCCCTGAAAAAATAAAAAATAAAAGTTAACTTATTTTTTAATTGAAATATAGGAAAGAGTTAGAATTCTGACTTTTTTTTCTCAGAATTCTGACTTTTTTCCCAGAATTCTGCATTTAATCTCAGAATTATTACTTTAATCTCAGAATTTTGACTTTTTTTCTCAAAATTCTGACTTTTTTTCTCAGAATTCTGCATTTAATCTCAGAACTCTGACTTTTTTTTTCAGATTTCTGACTTTAATCTCAGAATTCTGACTTTAATTTTTCTATTAAAGTCAGAAATCTGAGAAAAAAAAGTCAGGATTCTAGCTTTTTTCCCATATTAAACTGAAATAAAATGTAAAAATCCATTAACTTTTTTTCTTTTTTTCAGTGGCCCTAATCATCTTCTGTAAACCCCCCTTCTTCTTCTTGAATTTTTTTTAAGGATTGTGGACCGAATGCCAAAAACAAAACAAAACAAAACAAATATACATGTTTTTATAATGTATAACAGGATATAAAATATACCCTGTTATACAATTTAATCTGTTTCAAAAACTGAAATATAACCTGATATCCTCTGCTTCGCAGTAAATGAACAATGTTAACTTTCATTTTCATTTTACTAAGTTTCCTAATTAACTTGTTTCTCTGAATCAAGTATTTCCTACAACTCAAAATAACATGTTCCACCATCTCATCTTCCCCACAGTCACATTTCCCTGTCTGATGTTTCTCTATTAAAGATAATGACCTATTCAATCCTGTCTGTCCTTTTCTAAGTAGTTGAACAATTATCTCTTCTCTCCTGTTCCTTTCTGTTCTTCTCATTTGTCCAATTCTCTTTTGGATTTTATAGAACCACCTTCCTTTCTTTTCTTCTTCCCATAACTTTTGCCTCCTCTCTTTTGTTTTTTGTTTAATTATACCCTTTATTTCTGTTACACTCAAACTAACATTAATATCTATCCCTACCTTATTTGTACTCTCCTTCACCATCCTGTCTGCAATTTCATTTCCCTTAAGCTCGTTATGTACCAGAACCCAAACAAAATTTACTACTAGCTCCATCATCATTAAACCCCCTTTAAATTAGTACAATATATAAATAATCATAAATAAATAATATATATAAAACCTATTATCTGCATAATTCCAATATTGCTCAAACGTAGTACAGAAAAATTACCAACACAGAGCATTTATGTCTGTTTATGTGTTACTTCCAAATTCAGATAAAAAATATTTAGAAAATTTTGATAATTTTATGATTATTAAATAAAACCAATCAGTCAGTAGGTAGACTGCAAAAATTAAACTTGTTCATGAAACTTTGACGACTTCCTCAAAAAGGTTAGTGCACAAAAAGTAACTACTGTAACTGGCTGTTCTCAGACTGCCTTGTACAAGAAAACTTAGTGGAAGGATGAAGTGTGTGTAAACAAAGTGCATAAGCAACGGGGATTATCACAACCTTAAAATGATTGTTGTGTAAAAGTCAATATAGCCTGATTGAGATTGACTACAATTGAAGCAGTGCTTTCAGGAGCTATAAAACACAGCTGCAATGATGGTAGGAGATACACAGAGGCAATGTCACCTGTGTTTTACAGGGACCACACTACAGTAATACAGAATCTTCTTCTAAGTTAAAAATATATTTTCATTTAATTCAGGAATCAGGGTTCCAGGGTGTTGTTGTGAATATCTGTTATATTCAATTCCCAGCCAGCTGGGACGCCTATTATGTTGTGATGTTTATTGCCCTCCCCGTTAGGGGTGATAAATATCTTTTTTAATAAAATATTATTCGATTGTCATATATTGTCTATAAACACACGCCATACTAACTGTGTGTTAGAGCAATACATGAAAACAGTGATTCGAGCACCAATTATGGTCAAACAGTTAATTCTGCACATACATGGAATAAATTCACCACAACCTCTGTTAAAAATATAAGTTTATTAACAAAACTCATTCAGCTCAAAGTCAAACATATTTCAGTTTAATTAAAACTCCTAACCAAAAATAGGGAAACTTAACTAAACTAAACCACTTTGTACAAAGAGGAAGGGGAAGCATGGTTATAAACCATATTACAGTTTAAGATTGATTTTGTTTTGCAAAAACAAAGTTTATCCGGAAGAATTTGGAATATGATTAAATTAGCTTTTCACTCATTTAAAGCAACTGGAATATTTTCATAATGCAAATTCATGAGGTGAATAAAACATTATTTGGCCAAACAATGTTTTAATAAACAATTTGCTTAATTAAGAACAATAACAACCTTTAGTTAAATGATTCTTTACCCTCTTTGAAATAACTAGCAGCGAATAGACATGAGGATTCCACTAAATGACTCTTGGTCATACTTGATAATGGAAATGTAATGAGCATTTGAGGAACACATAAACACTAATGTTATATCAGTGTTTAAACCTTAAGTGAAATAAAGCTTGTCCAAGCTTCAGCAACATCTCAAAACACATTACTGTAGCATATTAGCTGAAATTATTAAAATCAGCAAAAGACATATTGTGTGTTCTGTCCCAAATTGTGCCAGACCTGCAAACCTCTGTCCATGTCTGTTTTGCAGGTTCTGAATTTCATCCAGCATCAGCTCACAGCAAAAGGGGGGGTTCTCCTTAGTCCCATGCGGCTCAAACCAAGGGATCTTCAGGAGACTTTCTCTACCGGTCTGGCTCTGTAATTCTGAAACTCAGAGAAATGTGTTGCAAAAAGTCTGTTTTGCAGCAGTTTGGTTCTGAAACGTCAACCATCATGACTTATCCTTGGTCATTCTGGAGATCTGGGCTTTTTGGGCCTGGCGCCATGGTTATGGGCAGCCTCACTGAAAAACATAGAAATACTCTGTCCCGTGCTTTTTTTTACTGTTCTCAGCTCCATGGGGGGCCACCTATATGGGAGGGGTCCTGTTAAGCCAATTGGCTGATAGCGGGTTGTAGAGCAGAGAAGAGAGGTCTTACAGCTGTGCACCCTCTTCTCCAGTGAAAATTTTAAGATGAATGTGACTTGTAAGATACCGTGACTGGCTGGATATGCTCTCGTCATCCTCTGGCATGGGAGCTGGCTCGGTGCTTGTCGGCCTGGCTGTGTGTTTCCTGGACGGCGCCGCCTCTTGCAGCTGCTTTTTGTGTCTCTGCCTCTGTCTCCTTGAACCCCAGTCGGCCTCGCAGATGGCCGCTCACACTGAGCCTGGTTCTGCTGGAGGTTTCTTCCTGGAGTTTTTCCTCTCCACTGTCGCTACAAGCATGCTTAGTGTGAGCGATTGCATTCTAGTCAATGAATCGATGCAATCAACTGGTTTTCCTCAGATAGAAAACTTTGAATCAATTTGACTGTATAATCCGGTGAACTGTAAAGTGCCTTGAGATGACATGTGTTGTGAATTGGCGCTATAGAAATAAACTGAATTGAATTAAAATTGAAAGATGGACACTGGTTCTCAATGTCCAAAATTACTATCATGCTTTATGGCACAACAGTGTCATCTGCTGATTTTAGTCTGTTATCTACCAACCAGCATCATTGAGATGCTGATGACCTAATGACCCGGCCACTGACAAAATCTTCCATACAGATTATAAGAATTTATAAACTAATGAGAAAAGGAAGAATAAATAGACCGACCCAAATATGAAAGATGAGGTAAAGGGCTCAACCATAAGTAAATGGATTTCCATAACACCTTTGCAGATCCACAAGCACAATCCAGTAATGCTCACTGCACTGATGTGGCAACTCTTTCAAAAGGAGCCCTGACTGAGTACTGAGTGCCGATACTGTGAAATAAAAAGAACAGATTATTAGTCGGCAGCAGGGGCAGATCTAGAAAAAATATTTATGGGGTGGCGAGAGGGGAGCAGGAATTTTTGAGGGGTGGCAACATGTGGCATTTGTTTACACTGAATTCAATCACAGTTATCACAGTTTGGTGAGAATAGTATGTAAAGTAAGTGTTTCATGTGAAGCAGTTCATATTAGAAATACATCGTACAATGTGATCTCGACTAGTGGGAGATAGAAGAATTATAAAACTACTTCTAGAGCGGCATTATCACAGGAAAGGTATTAAGGTAAGACACAGATGCTGAGTCACAGATGTGTGAGACTGACTGTCAGAGAGGCAGCTTTGCAGCATTTGCACAAGAAGAAACTATAGAAAGAAAAAGTTACCCATCAGAGATCTATGGACTGAGCTGTAATAAAGTGAGCATTACTACACAGTAGAAACAAATGGGTTAAGTCACCCAAACAAGGTACCAGACATCCATGTATTGTTTACTCTGAACACACATTTACCCCATTTATTCCTCAGTAACTTGACATACAGCAGTTAAGGCAACATGAAAGGGACATTCCATGCATGTAAATATGCTGTAGATAGAGCTGCTGTATTAACAAATCAACAAAAAGGCAGGTACTGCATGTTACATCAAAATCTCCACAAATCTGAAAAGAAGCAACCAAAAAATACATTTTGCTTCCAGTCTAAAAAAGTACAAAACATTTTGTGAGTAGGTTCATACAGGTCATTTCTGGATAGTTTCATTCCATATATACAAAAAAAGAAACAACAACACTGCTTCGTATTAAGCAGGATTTACACCAGTATCACATGTTTAACTTTACTTTTAATGCTTTTGGTTTTATTAAAGTAAATATCAGATTTTCTCAGGTGCCAAAACAAAATGTAACAGCTCTGTAAAGGCTCACCAGAGAGCATAACATAAAGTTAACATGACTATAACAGCTGAATGCGGCGATTTCCATGTTGCTCAGCAAAACGCTTCACAAGTGTATTTAGATCCAATGCCTTTTGATTCAATGCTGAGTACAACCAAACTTGATAGTCTCTTTTCTGTCATAGTTGACCGC